TAACTCAGGTTTGTGGGCTGAACCTTCAATATCTTTTTATAAAGAAACTAGCTTTTGCTTACCCTGCATCACCATCTCCGCCCTTCAAGGCTGAAAATTGGGAGGTTAGTGTTTAAAGCAGGGGTTTCCAACCTTGGCAACTTTAAGCCTGGAGGACTTCAAGTTGAAGGCTTAAAATTGCTAAGGTTGGAGACCCCTGGTTTAAAGGAAGGAAAAAGAGCAAGCAGAACCTGCTCATCAGTATCATCAACCTGTTCATCAACTTGGGATCAAATTATCTTTCTGAAATTATGTTCCCTGCAATGAACTCTGACCAGCTTGTAAAAACCAAATCTTATTCAAGTAGGTTGAAAACATAAGGTATTGTTAGGTGTAAAAACAAATTTCCAATATACAATAACAATATCTTCTAGTTTCAGGATCATCATACAATTTGTTTATTTTTATTTCTGGGCTTTGGATAGGCTGATCACAAAGATCAGCCCCTCTTCCCCTTAACGGAAGAGTTAAGGATCCAGCTAGTTGGATGAGGATGTGGTAGGAAGTTCAAACTCTTAGCAGCCTGATGTAAGGATCTTTTACTGGGATGTTTGTGAGATTTTAAATGGGTCCTTAACTAGGCTGTTATGCCTTCTTTTTTTTTTTTCTAATTTCCCACCTGAGGCACCATTAACAACAAAATCTAACAGAGGCCAGTATGAATTTACATTATGGCTGCCATATTCTGAGTGGAAGTATCCAGATCCTCAGCACATGGGATCAAAGAGGAGTTTCTACGTGACTTTGTTGCAATTAGCGAGCAGAGTTTTTCACCCTAGATAAAGTAGCCTTAAATAATATATTAAGCATTTCTGTTGGGTTAATTAATCCCTTAGGGGCAATAAAAATAGTTAAGAACTGGATAGCATCAACTGGGCTGATCCTGACCAATTAAATTCATGAGAAGGAAGCAATACAGCTTCCTTAAATAAAACTGATTTTACCTTTCTAAGTCACACCAACACTAACTAAATGTTTGCAAAAAAGGGTTCTGCTTCGGGATTGGTTATAGGATCATACAAATTTCTTATTTTCCTAGACTTTTAATTTTTGTATATAAGGGAAAATTGTAATAGGACAGATTGTGAAAATGTTCAGTCTTTCTGGAGTATAAGTGATGAATATGTTGGATGTATGAATGGCATAAACTTCAACAGGTTGGAGTATCTTAAACAAGTATCACCTCCGGAGTGTGGTCAGGATCTCTGTCATGCTCCGGACTCTCTTCAGTAAAAGATCTAGTTTATGTGGTTCTTCTTTTAAAAATCTCACGGCCTCCACCTCAATACGGAGAATGGCTCTCATTTTATTCTGCAGTGTTGGAAATTCACCTGTAGAAATAAGAGTCCATGAACCACTTCTGAAATGCAAGATGGACTAAGTTCCCATTTCATACTGAAGTTGCCACTTTGCCAAACTTAGTTGTGGAATAAATTATAAACCAATTGGTTTCAGTCATCAAATACAGATAGTGAATCATACTATTTTAGTTTAGTATATGTTCATACAGTATTGTCTAGTGGTTAGCATACTGGACTGGGACCAGAAGTAGCCAAGTTCAAGCCCATTCAACATGACAGTCATTAGATCATTTTAGTTTACTTATTCTTTTTCAGACTAAAGGCTTTCAAAAGAATGTGGCAAGGATTAAAATGAGGGATGACCTCACGTTATTTCTTTATTTGAGCTATTTAGAGGCGAGGTAGCATATGTAGATAGAAAAGCAATAAAACAACTACAATGTTTGTAGTTTGGCTTACTATCTTGATCCAGCCAATGTTAGAGGCATGGGGTTATTACTCAAATAGTAAAAGAAAAGGGTAGGAGAGGGAGAATCCAGCTTTTGAATCTGCATCTTCATGTGCAAGCACTGGGTAGAAAAATATCGGTTTTGGGTGAGAAGAGGGCACAGACCACCATTCAGATGTCTGATAAATTCAGTGTTACTTTATCTTACAAATTATCTAGCAAACAACTCTTACTTTAGTAGAGTATATAAAGAGCTTTTTTTTTAACTCTTGAAGAAAAAAAATACTGTGAAAGGAGTGAGGAGGGGAGTAATTAAAAACAGCATTACTTCAGTTTAAATCATATCAGAATCCAAGAGAGAGCTATTCACATGTATACATACAGTAGATACACAAGCATGCACTGAGGCTTTTCTAGCTGGAATGAGAAATCAATATGCAGTAAACAGTATCAACCTGGAGCAGGTAGGACTACTAGGATGACCTATTTCTTAACCTTGCTGGGGAATTCTGGGAGTTGAAGTCCACACGTCTTAAAGTTGTCAAGGTTAGGAGAAACAGGTTGCCAACTCCAGTTCATCATCCTATCTTAAATTTCCTAACACAGAAGTAGGTCTTGAGCTTTCCTCACCTTAATCCACCCTCAAAATTAACTCAGTTCTAAGATCCATGTCCCAGTCCTAGGCACATGGACTTTGGACCTAAGTCCCACTGACCTCACTGAAACTTACTTCCAATGCACTTGGTGAAAAATGGAGCATAAGAAGAACCTAGGCAATGTTAGTTAGATACTTAAATCAAAGGGGAAAAAACCTAAAGGCACCTTTGAGGGTGGCAACTGCCTCTCCAACTTGCCGCAAGAGGAAAGCTCCATCTTCAACATCTTTCAGTGTTACTGTTCTGTTAGATGTCAAAGATTCCTTCTTCAGATCTTCAACAAATCTTTCTAGCTCACTGGAAAAGTAGAAGAATTGAATTGGATGTGAGGACATCTTAACAGACTGATAAAAGACCCATTCTCAGAAATTGGAATGTTTCTAGTTTCCATTCTTAAGTTAGAAATTCTTGTTTCTATGTCAGAATATTGCATTAAAATATTTTGTACCCTCCCTATTTTTCATATGTTTTGGATTTTATCTTCTATACTTCTGAGGCAGCATTGTCAAAGGTGGAGAACTACAGGAGTTGAAATCCAATATTCTGGACAATATCAGATTGGAGTATACTGATATAAATAAAGCCAGAGAAAGTCGTAATTAATACTTTAATGTCATATACTGTATATTTACTCTATTATCATGTATCCCCAACTTCATCAGGAATCAAGTTCAGCTCAGCTCCTTACCTTTCAGCCCTGCTACAGTTTGTACAACTGATTACCACATAGGCATTTACGGATACCTAAACTTATGAATTGCTGATAAACTCTTTCATCGAAGATACTGCACTGACCAAGGAAAAAAATGTGTATTTTAAACTAGACCGTGACTTGGATGACAACAACAACAACAAAAAAGAAATCTGGGGAAGACCACTGACTTGAGAGAATTATACATAATTCTACGGCTGTCAGAATAATTGAACAATTATTGTTCAAAAGTAAAGTTTTAATGGAAACAGAACCAAAAAGCAAAGATGTAGTCTAAACAACAACCACTGGATGGCAGCAAGTGACCAACACTTTTCCACCTTCCAGGATGGCATCATTAAATAACTGGTGTTTGGGTGTCTACATGTATGTCTTGTCTGGAGCTCAATAAATGAAATTTAAAACTACAAAATAGAAACATAAATTGATCACACGAGGTGGGTCTGTATATGATACTGAAGGTAACTAATCTAGTTTCACTTGTGTGTGAAAGTAGGTACAAGATTCTTTAACTGATCCAGTTAAACATATTGTGTGTTCAAGCATCCATGAATCATTCCTCATCATTTAGCTCAGGAATTCAGCCTTTCTGAAGCTGTGGATTGTCCTATAGCACCCGCAATTCAGTCCTTTGCTGGGAGAAAGGAAAATTCTACCTTGAATTATGTTTGATTCCTGATGACTCCCTAGGACTAGGTGATTCCATATAGTTTCTGGGCAACAGGGTGTCAGCGTTGCCTTCTTTTACAAATTTCCAGACTCGTCTGCTGGTCTGGAGTTTCCTGGTTCTCTCTTACCAATGCTAACTTAATTTGACTCCACTCATTTTTTTAATGTAGTCAACATGAGAGTTGTGCTAACCAAACAAAATGTTTACTTTTTGTTACATAACGAATTAATTATTTGTTTAAATAACGAATAAATAACTTAAATTTAATTAAAATGTAATTAATTAAAGAGCTATGATTACTCTTTCTGAGTTTAATAATTTCTTCCTCTGTCCTATTAAAAATTGCATTATGGTAGTTATTTGGAAGAGGCTTTAGGGAATACATCCAAAGCTCTAAGTCAGAATTTGTCAATGTGTGGACTTCATCTCCCAGAATTCCCCAGCCAGCATTAACCCAGCATTGAAGTCCAAACATCTTAAAGTTGCCAAGTTTGAGAAACACTTCTCTAAGTGGTGGCCTGCAACTCTTGGATGATAAAACTATAGAATCTGCTTGTTTTTAAAGAGGAATTCAATATTAACAAGTTGTTGAGGTGCACAGGGATGGACAGGGAGGAAAAACTGTGGCATTATCTCTGAAATTTAAGCAGTCCATTTTTGCTGCATTTAGGGCACTGGAATATCTTTTTGAGATTGACTTGGAGAACAGTCATGTTGCTTTCAAGAATGTAAAAAAAAAACTAGTGAATGAACTTCATTGCTCAAGTCATGGGCTTTTATGGGCAGCTTAAATTGAATTAATCCATCTGAAATACAAGAGGATTTAAACCTCTTAAATATGCACATTCCAGTATATATATATTTATTTGTTCTAGAGAGCTTGTTAAGGGGTAAACTGGATTCATGAAAAATTAATTTTACTTTCTTTCAAAGGAAATGATATGAAACATGTGAACTCTAAGATAGTTAAACAGTAGAGTACCAGACTTTCACAAAACTGAAGAGAAAAAAATGGTTGGTTAATAGCTATTACTCTTGGTTAGCTATCTGAATCATTTACTCTTCCAGTTCAAGTTCAGTTATAATATTGTGCTATCTCCATTATTAATGTTACTATTACTTAATTGGTGCACTGAGGGACAATAATGTTCCAATATTATTATTTTTAATGCAGATGTTCCCGCAACACAAAACAAAAGCAGAAGACAGAGTGATGAGAGAAGAGAAAAAAAGAGAGAAATATTAGTTGACATGAAAAGCCAACCAAACAAAACTCTATGAAGAAATGGAGATTTCACATAGCAATTAAAGTTTTTCAAGTTTTTTTCAGGCAAGAGCAGGTACAACTTGTTTTCTTTCTTTTTGGCAGTCAAAGATTGCAGTGGGCAAAACAATGCTGGGATTAAATCACTGAAATGACAGCTAGGATTTCCAAGACTCCAGGAGTTCTTTTTCTCTACCTTCCCACTTTTTGGAAAAGAAAAAGAACCAAAATGTTGTTTTTCAGAGATTTGCAGCCAAATTCCTGAAGTTTTTTGATGACACAAGAAGATTTAGGGTCCCAACCTTTACAGATTTTGGATTACTGTCCAAAGCTTTATAAATATCTTTCTGACTTAGATATATGTCCCATTCGCTTATATGTAAAATTAATTTTAAGAACTTTCTTTAATTTGAGTACCCCAGACATAGGCACCAACAATTCCCATAATCCCCTCTCTGACACTGGAATATTGTGAGAAGTATGGAGAATACATTCAAGAAGACCTTGTAGCAGTTGTCACAGGTTCAGAAAGGACCCAGATTCCAGAACAGAGAACTAATACAAACCAAAATTTAGAAGTTCTGTGTCTCCTGGCTAAAGTTAGGTTTTAGCTTTGATTTTAGAAGAGGAGATGTCATAATTCTCAATTATAGCTACAAATATATGTAGATTTAAACAGTTGGTAGCGTAACTCTAAATTGATTTCATGATTTTTCCAAACTGCTATCTATTTCAGTCAATTTATCTCAATATACAGGGCCTTCATTGTTGATAGCTCTAGAGCAGGGATGTCAAACCTGATCGCATCGCGGGCTGCATCGTGATGTATCTGGATTTTTTTTGCCCTTGTAGGGCTACGTTTGACATGCCTGCTCTAGTGTACATTTATGCCTACATCAACAGTTTCGAGCTCCTCTAGATAAATTTTATGGAATTAATTAATGGTTACAATGCTGAATCTAGACCAACAAAACCTTGGTTCCTATACACTCACAGGGCTCAAAACATGACCCTGGGCTAAATATTTTACTCAAACCAATTAATTTCACAGGGTTAGGGAAAATTCCGAATCCATCTTGAATTCTCAAAAACAAGAGAATCAGTGATTAATTGATATATCCCAACCAGTATATTTAGCGGGTAGCAGGATTGATAAACACAGTGGTTAGATAGTTTTGCAGCGTATTGAAGTGATGAATTCTCTTAGAATCTGTTTTGTATAATGTATTTACAATTATTCCAAGCCTATTTGTGGGCAGTATGGTAAGAATGGCAGCAACAGACATGCCTTAAAATAATTTTGGAATTAAAGAAACAGTTCAACACAGAGAACAACCTGTAAATCAGGAAGAATGGTACAAGCAATTACTTAAAGATTAACTAACAAAACATAGAGATGGAAAAATATTTAGTAGGAAAAATTATATATTTCAATGCAGTTTAATCAGTAAAGGTGATGACCTTGTTTGAAAAGTATTTCAGCTATTGAACCAGCCAATACCAAGAGATCAATAGATTATATTTAAAAACCTCTTGTCGGAAAGAGGTTTTTGCCAATGGCAGTTATTTAGTAAGTTTGTAGAACTTACCTCCAACATCTTCCGTCCATACATGTTTAGGTTTGTTAGTATTTTATTTGTTTTAATTATGAATGCTCTCATGTCTCTAAATTTCTCAATTTCTCAACAACCATGGGAAATTGGTTAAGAATGAGCTGCTTGCCCAAGGCCACCTAATTAATTTCATTTATAATATTTTTCCCTACATCCAAAAACAAGCTTGGAACCTCTGTAACACTCTGATTCATATCCTAGTAAAAGCTGTAAGTAATATAGACTGATGGCCTGCATGCATATACATGTAATAAAAAGAGCAAAATACACAGTGGTCAAAATTCATTGGAAAATATCTGAAAAAAGTGTGTTTATTGTGCAACTTCCCACCTACATGTGAAGTTTTATAGTGGAATATCATTTCATAAAGTCTTACTTCTTCTCTTAGGCTAATGAGCAAAAATTAATCCTCTGCTTGCTGAGACAGAAGAAAATCCCCCAATTTCAATAAAGTTCATTCTCAAACTTGCATAGAACTTCAACCTAGCAAGATTTCTAAAAACATATATTTCATTATGGCGTACAAAAGTTTTTTTTTTCTGCAGTTGGATGGAAAAGAGATAGCTTTTATTTCCCCCCCCCCCAAAGCAGAAAAAATATCTTTTATGAACGGAAGCCAGAATTCTTGAATTTCCCTTAATGGCAATACTAGCTGGCTGGATGTAGGTGACCCCTCTTTAATACCAAGTCAAAGCTGTCTGTGGATGGCTTTTATTTTAGCTTCACCTCTCCCACTGTAGGATGCTATAGTTTTTCCAGCTTCTCACACTTCCATTCCACCTCCAGGAAGTACAGGAACTCTTCTAAAAGAGGCAACCAGTCTTTTCAGAGGCAAGTAACCGTTGTAGACTGATGGAGAAAGGGGAAATAGCTCCCTCAAAACTATCACTCAGTATGTGCCCATTCAAAGCTTCTGTAGAAAGCAAGTCTTAAACTAGGAAAAAATCTCCTTTGAACAGAGATGCAATGGAGGAATAATTGAAACAATGGATCACATTATTCTGTATTGCCTTCTCTATGCAGGTGCTCATCAGGAATTATGATCTATATTCTTTACTAAATATCCTGCCCTCCTGAATTGTGTTACTTTAAATTGTTATTATCCAATATTTTATTTCTTTGACCACAGTTGTTTTCTAGTTTATATAGCATAACATAGTGTTTTCTCTAATCCTTTTCAGATATTTTAGAACAATTATGTTTTTCTTTATGTTAACTGTGATTTTTGTGTCTTATCCACTGATATATGACAGAATAAAGAATGATTGAGTGATTGAAGCAAGACTTAAAAACAGAATCTTTTTTTCCCCTCCCCAAAGGCTGAAAAAGAATTAGGGAAATTGAAGCAGAATGTACAGCTAATAAATATACAAAATAAATAAATAAATAAATAAATAACTTGAGTCTAAGCAAAGGGGGAAAATAGACTGAAAATGCTTTCCTTTCCAGATTTCATTGTACTCTCTCATTTCTGTGAGAGGCTGATGAAATAATAACTAATTCCCGTCAAGAGTTTGCTTTCACTTACCATAAACTCTTCATAATCCTTTCTGTCTCAAGGAGATACTTCTGCCTTTCTTGCTCCACCAGGTGGCGATGGCGCTGCACAGGGTCTTCCAATCTTTTTGCTCTTTCCATCACTTTGTGGTTGATCTCCAATTCTGCATTCCTCATCATGGCTTTTAGTGTATCCTGATTCTGCAGCTGTTACATAAAAAAAAAAGTGTCAATTTGTCCTGCCTAACATCCATCCTATTTCAACATATTCCATTGCTCAGAAGCGGGTTTGCATAAACAATATTGCAGCTGAATACACTTAAAAAAGAAAGGGTCCTATCAAAGCTTACACATGAAAAAAATCAGGGGAAGCAGAAATGAGTATGAATGCTATTAATATATAAAATATAAATCTAGGTTCAGCAGAATATTGATTAAAAAGACTAATATTAGTGGGTTTTTAAAAGGATTTTTAAAATAATTTTTTGTTGAATAAGCTGTGGATACAATATCTTTAGCTTTATATGCAAAACAGTCTAGGACAGTGATGGCTAACCTTTTTGCCGTCATGTGCCAAAAGCGGGGGGGAGCATGGGGGTCACGCACGCGCATGCCCACACCCATAATTCAATGTCCCCTGCACCCTGACCCCCCCATGCATGCATGCATGACTCTCCCCCCACGTGCTCCTCCCACTTTTTGCATGCAACAGCAAAAAGGCTACTGGTGGGCCTGGAAGGCCCATTTTTTGCCCTCCCCAGGCTCCAGAGGCTTTCTTGGAGCCTATGGAGAGTGAAAACGGCCTTCCCCACTCCCCCAGAGGCCCTCCAGAGGCTGGAAATGGCTGGTTTCCCAACTTCCGATGGGCCCAGAAGGCCCATAAATCAGCTGGTCGGCGCACGTATGCGCGCTAGAGCTGAGCTAGGGCAGTACTTGCGTGCCCACAGATATGGCTCCACGTGCCACCTGTGACACGTGTGCCATAGGTTTGCCATCACGGGTCTAGGATGTTATATCTATTACATTCTGGTGTGTTGGGCAACAGTTTTCTACAATTCAATTTTAGGCACAGATACAAATAAGCATCCAAAAAGATTTTACTCTACAACACAAAGCAGCTCCTCTTCCTGAAAATGGCACAAATGGGTAGTTTGTTTTGATAGATCAGGCATTCAATTGGGTGATGAATATGAAAAAAGCAATAAAAAACCCACAAATAAAATCCAAACACTGGAGGCAGATTCAGAAAGGATCCAACAAAAAATGTGTGAAGAAGCGAGAGAGAGAGCATGCATTTGATTTTAGTTTACCTATTGGTCAAAAAAGTCAAAATGGAAGCCACAACCATGTAATCAAGGTCTTGCTCCTTTTAATGTGCATCGTGGTCTTCCATTCCCTCTATGGTAAGCTCTTGACAGTTTCAGAACATAGTAATGTTGTCTAAGGTCAGCTCCGTGACAGTTTGTGTAGTGATTAAGGTGCTGGTCTAGAAACTAGGAGACTTATGAGTTCTAGTTCCTTTTTAGGTTTGAAAGCTGGCTGGGTGATTTTGACTCAATTATTCATTCTCTCTTAGCCCAACTCACCTCACAGGTTGATATTGTGGGGAAAATAGAAGGAAGAAGGGCAATTATGTATGCTTGCCACTTTCAGATAGTTATTAAGTTATAAAGGCAGGATAAAAAATTAATAATAATAATAATAATAATTTGATGGGGCTCAAGTAAGTATCAAATGAGCTTTGCATCTTCCATTTTTCCTAATATCTCTATACAGAAGCCCCAAATAGAAACATCAGGGCCTCCTATCAGATAGTGATGACACAGATTCTGGGTGGGTATGAAGAAAAAGCCAGTGGGGATCACACAGGTTTAACTTGTTTTTTTTTAATCTGCAACATTTGTATATATTTAGGTGAAATTTGTGAACAAAGAGAATATATTATGAAGAATTCAAGTAAGCATAGGCTGTTTTGAGATTTCGAACTGAAATGAAGAGATTGTACAGTTTTCAATTATCTAAGAAGGAAGGAAGCAAGGATTACAGTGGATCATATGGGTAAATTTCAGATTAACCAAGTACAGCATTGTATCTAATGTTGTTTCTGTCTCCTTCCTCCTTTTCACTGTTTCATTGCAGACCATAGAACAGTGTTGGAGAATCTTTTCGGTACCGAGTGGCAAAACGGGAGCACACGCGCACAGGGGAGCACTGGAAACTAGAAGAGAAGCTCCCCGGCGCGAATGCGAGGGAGCGCCGGAAACCGGAAGAAAACCCCCAGCCTTTTCAGCCATTTTTCAGCAAAAAATGCCCACAGGAATGTATTGACTCACTTAGTGACTGCCATAGTTGCTTTACAACTACTGCAAAAAATATCATAAAATTGGATCAGTCACATGGATGCCTCAACTTATGACCGTCATCTTTTATGAAGAGAATTCTGGACCTCATTACAATCATAAGGTTTAAGCTTTCACTGATCAACTCATGAGTAGGTGTTTGTACTCTTAGAAGAGGCTTGTTATCATGTACCTGACTATGAAAGTCCTCTTTATTGCTTCTATTCTACTTTTGGATACCACTGTCAGATGCAACATTATTGATCTTCTCAGCCAATTACAGGTTGGCTAGAGAAAGAGAATTGGGAAAGCATTTAGTGATTTACCCTCTTTCTCATACAATGAATAGAGGCCAAGGTTTAATTATGCCACGCATTAACCTGATCACTGATCCAAACAATGATCTCACTATCGATAGGCAATTATGGCTTTTTGCATTTCTGCTTTTACGACCTCACCCTCCCTCCATGTCCACAAAACACTAAAGACCAAAAGATGAGATAAACAATCCCAGAACAAAACAAAAGGCCAATGCTTTGTACTCAAATGAAACCAACTGGTCATTAAGATGCTTTTAGCCCTTTTCCATAAATATTTACATGTTGTTTTCATTGTCATTTGGACAAAGAACAGAACAAACTATTCTTCCTTGCTTCTATTGTTTGTGATGAAGGATACTGAAAGCACATGTCCTTAGACTCAACCTTAGCTGCATATAGACACACACTTGTACATTATGAAGGATCGCTGAATAAATATCCTTACCATATTCATATGTATGGTAAGAGAGAGAAAAATGTGTTAACTTCAACATCTCTGAAGCAAAAAGGTATCTCAGATTCTTTTCCACACAGTTCACTGTATTCTTTAAAACATACACTTTAAGATGTCTGTGGAGGTTCTCAGTCATCCAGATCATGGTTGTCCCCAAGGTACTGTCTTTCAAAACGGCAACTGGACTTTTTGGTTTTGCTAGATGTTTGGCTTCTCACCCAAGAAGCTTCTTCATTTCTGACTGGTGCAGAATGGATGGGTGGATGGGTTCATTGAAGTCATGTGGTCGTTAGCCCTCTTTGACTGCATGACTGCAAGGAATATAAATCCTTCCATTCTCCACCATTCAGTCAGAAACGAAGAAGCTTCTTGGGTGAGAAGCCAAATGTCTTCCAGCAAAACAAGAAAGATCAGTTGCATTTTGAAAGAAAGCACCTTGGGGACATGTACTTTAAGATATTAATATATCTTAAATAAAATATGATCATTCTTGAATGTGAGTAACAACAAGAATTTAAATATTAAATTACTATAAATAACTCCTGGAAAGATCAGAACAAGAGCACCAACATAGACAATGACTCTAAATAAAACAAAAACTAATGTTTGTACAGCAATCCTAAAGTAAACACATTACTGAGCATAAATTAGTTCTGATTAAATAGTTCAACATGTGTTCTTTACAAAATTAATGATTTGGTTGTCATTCTCTTCAGATAAATGCGAAAAGCCAATCAAAAGAAACATCTTGTGGATTATTCAGACACTGTAGGAATTTGGGAATCTAGGAGCACTGCCCAGAGAGGTGGCAGTATAGGTAGCAATCTAGATGACCTTACAGAATACAGAATAACATAATTGAAAGGGATCTTGGAGGTCTTCTAGTCCATCCCCCCCACCCAAGCAGAATATACTATTCTGAACAAATGGCTGTCCAAAATCTTAAAAACCTCTAGTGATGGAGCATCCACTACTTCTGAAGGCAAGCTGTTCCGCTGATTAATTGTTCTCAATGTCAGGAAATTTCTCCTTAGTTCTAGGCTAGATTTCTCTTTTTGGTAAGTTTTCATACATTACTTCTTGTCTTGCCCTCAGGTGCTTTGGAGACTAAATTGCCCCACTTTTTGTTAGACCAGCCATCATACGTTTCAGCTTTTGGATCCCTAAATATTTCTATTGCCCTTCTCTGCACTCTTTCTAGAGTCTTTTTTTAATCTATTATGCTGTTTTCTATACTCTTTAGAAAGAGTCTCTCTTTCTATATTGTGGTGATAATAGATAAAAGAATTGGACACAGTATTCCAAGTGTGGTCTTTCGAAAACAGTATATAATGGTACTAATACTTCACTGATGTTGATACTATTCTGTTGATGAAGCTTAGGAGTACATTGGCTTTTTGGGAAGCTGCAGCACACTGCTGGCTCATATTTAAATGATTGTCCACTAGGACTCCTAGAGCCTGTTACAATATGAACTTGCCCTAATCAAAATAAAAACCAAAAGCAGACTTGCACAATATATTTTTTAAACACTGTACAATTTAACTCTTAGAAATCCTAAAAATATATACCTTATTTCTTAAAAAAATAGGCAACATTTTGATACTGTGATATAACAACATATGTTATCAAATGGGTGAGATGAATAAAGGGTAAACTTCAATTTTCACCAGTCAGTTGTATCTTTATCTTTTTAAAAGATTTATTCATAAGAATAACTAAGGCTTAGCTCCATCTTTATCAGGGGTGAAATGCTCCCGGATCGAACCAAATTGCCCGGTCCGGTAGCGATCTTGGCTGTTGGTTTGGCAATTCGGTAGTGATGGTGGAGCAAAGCTCCATTCACCCGTCTGGATGTCATTACTTCCTAGTTTTAACCAGGAAGTAATGTGTTTTTTGCGCATGTGCAGAAGGTCTGCGCGGGCATGTGATGCGCGGGGCACATGCACTTCTGAACCGGTAAGGAAGGTAATTAGATTTCACCCCTGATCTTTATAGTTTGTGACTGTTGCTCTATTGCTCTTACCTTCCTCTACAAACAAACATTTAATTTGATGTTTATACTAATAATTTGAAAGTGTATTCAGAGTAACTTTCAGAGGAGTATCTGCTTAATTTGTCACAGAAAAACAACATAAACTTTGTGGAATCTAAAAAAGGACACATTCATAAGTGTTCTATTAAATTTCTCATGACTCTGTTTTTTTAAAGAAGTTCAAACTAAAATGTTTTGCATTTTGGTACCCATTTCAAAAAGTATATTCCTCAGCAATTTTACATCACATACACAGTGTTGGCAAATAATTTTCTAATTTTGGCAAAGTATACTACAAAATTAGGAAAAGTGAATTTTCAAATGTAACTAAGATTTAGTCTGCGGATGGGTCTGAAAATGCAAACACAGATATGCTTGCACCTCACTGGAGGCTTTCACTAACATAACAATACCTGTAACTGCCTGATCTGGAGAAGCTGAAGACGGAGATCAGATACGTTGCGTTTCATGTTAAGGAGACTGAATTGCATGGCTGCGGAGTTTGATGGAAGAGAATGGCGGGGGCTTTTACTGGAAATCTCAACGTCTGCTAATGAATTCTTCCCAGTGAAGTCATGAGTGGATCCTAAAAATAAAGATAGGCAAATGACTCCATTAATAACCTCACTTCCCTCTCTTCTACTCCTCTTTCAATCATTAAAAATTAGAGCTCCCATGGATCACTTAATAAACTTGATGTTGTAAAAATAGTATCAGAGATTAGAATATAATGGACATAATGGTTGACTGATGTGTTGACAGAGAACAGATGAGAAAACAAAAAGAGAATCATTGTCAAAAGATAATTTATATATAATGTAAACAAACCTGGGATTTTTTCCCCCTGTTCAGATATTTAATGAAATCTAATAATCAGCCTACTAGATTCTGACAAATTCAGTATCATCTATAAATAAGCCTAAATTACACACACACACACACACACACACACACACACACACACACACAGTTTTTCTATTCTGGATTGGAGCTGAAAGGCGAAAGGGAGCAGAATGCCCCCTCCCACATGTTGGGGTAGACCAGGTGTCTTGATAGAAAAACACTTAATCTCCCCTGGCTCAAGATGATGAAGGGAAGAAAACTTGTGACTCAGAGGTTAATTCAACTGCCTAACATGCAGGAAGCCCAAGTTCAAATCCGAGTAAGGGTATGGCTAGCTGATGAGAGCTAAATAGCTTGGAATAGATCTATATTAGTCTCCCTTTATTTCTTTATCAGCAAAATATAAATTTGATATGAAAATGCTGTAGTCACTGTTACTTAACAATATAAATTGGTTCTTTCCTTCATTGGGGTTAGTCTCTGTGTTTTATAGTTAAGGTGTTCAAACTTAGAGACATCTTGAACTCCATACTGAGGTACAGAAGCTCCCTGAGTGATTTTAGGGCCATTCACATATTCTTAGCCCACTCAACCCCATGGAGATAATGTTATAGGAAAAAACAAGAGGAAGCAGCGCAATACACAGTGCCTTCAGCTTCTGACAAAAGTGAGATATATATATCTAACAAGCTAATATTGATTCTAATGTATCATTGAGCAGATTCGAATTCAGTGTAAGAAGAGAAAACAGAAAGCACACAGGCTAGAATCACACATTATGAAATCAACATGAAACTTGTAAGAACTGGATTTGCAACTTTAGCAACTGTAAGTATAGATTTCAACTGACAGAATTCCCTACTTACTGGCTGGGCAATTCTGATGGCTGAAGTCCCCACATCATCAAGTTGCTAAGATTGAGAAACACTGCTCTAAATAACCCATCAAAGAAAAAACCAAGAACAGCTACAAAAAAGGAGGGGGGAAAAACCAAAAACTGATAACCTATATCAAGATCTAACTATGGCTTATACCAATCCCTTTGGTGGCATAATAATTTTTCTTTTTCTTTTAGTCAAAACCCCTATGCTTTTTATTGAGCTATTTTTAAACAGACATTCATAAAATGAAAATAAATAATTTAGACCTACATAAAATAATCTAAGATAAAAATAAACAATATATACATTTACACAAAAATAAAATATACACAAGAACAAAAGGAAAGGAAAACTTTAAACCATAAAAAAGGCATAAGAACATATAAATAAAACCTGTAATTTTAGCGATATCTCAAGTTCACCTGATTTTGTAAATCTTTAAGAAGAAAAACTAAGCTTTTAATATTGACCAAGCAGGTTCAAAAATGTTTTCTCAAAGGGAGGGAACATGACATTTTCAGACTAACAAGACTTTTCTCAAAAAATGATAAATCATGACGTTAGACATAGAATTAAAGGAGAAATTAGTCCTTTCTGTCTGGAATTAAAATATTTTTTTTTAATTTTCCAATGATTATTCTTTGTTATTGCTAGAGCATGAAAAACAC